TTGCCACTTGGTGTTTAGACTAGAATAGGTACCATATATTTCAATTGACAGAATTTAGAGTGCTCCCAGTATTTTTGCATAGAAGAGTATTAAGTCATGAGCACAGAGGGCCACTCTGTCTACTCTGTTTCCTAAGGTGATGCCCATGAAACTGTTTGACGGATTACACAGTGCCCTCTGTGTAAGGACAGAGAGGGAGGTAGTAATCCATTCACCAGAAGATTAGAATGTTGATGTGCATTTAAACCATACTCCAATGCTTCTCAGGCATGCCACCACATCAAGGTACCTATGGTAAAACATCTAAGCGTTGGCCATCAGGACCTGAGGTTGGCCCGCAACCGGTTACCAAATCACTTAAGTGGCCCTCACTCTCCAATAGGTTGAGCACCCATGCTTTATGTTGATAAACCATACAGTATCGCACAGAAGTGAGTACACCCCCTCACATTTTTGTAAACATTTTATTATATCTTTTCATGTGACAACACTGAGGAAATGACACTTTGCTACAATGTAAAGTAGTGAGTGTACAGCTTGTATAACAGTGTAAATTTGCAGTCCCCTCAAAATAACTCAACACACAGCCATTAATGTCTAAAATGTTGTCCAGAAAAGTGAGTACACCGCTAAGTGAAAATGCCACCCGATACTACATGTCCCGGATGTCGGGCGATAGGAATCGAACATCCCTGCATCTCCACAGCATGTGCACTAATGTACCAACATCCCTTTCACACTGTGAACATAAAGGGGTATCCCTCTTATGCCACTTAAAAAGTTTCTGATGGGTAAACTGTGAATGATGTATAATAAAAATTTGGGTAAGTCTCTAAGATGCAGGAGATACTTGTCCTACATTATTATTAAGAACATCGGACCACTTCTCACCATTAATGCCAATATGCCCTGAACCTCAAAGAATTTGATATTTTCTGTAACAATGCACTATACAGCTTTATTTGTCCCAGCTAAGAATTTGCTACTAGACTCTAGTTATGAATTGTGGGTGTAACATAAACCAAAAGGGGTCCACCTTGACGGTGTTTGAAAAGCATGACGGAGCTGTAAATATTGAAGAAAGCATTTCGTGGGCAAGCCAAATTCCTCCTGCAAAGTGTGAAAATCTTTCAAGAATTGACCATCATATAAATTGCGGAATGTACACCGGACCCTCTCGCTCTAACCAATAATTAATTCCTTGCAGTTTTAATAACTCAAGATAATTGTTGTGTTAAGTGACAAAAACACTTAAACATTTGGCTATGTTTCAAACAAACATATCAGCAAGGTGTTCAATTATCTCACACTTATCCCCTTGAAGTCGTAGTTGTATGCTGTTGTATGCTTTGATATTGACTGGCAATAACTGGAGGCCATCTGCAATGTACAGCAGACATCAGTGTAGATCAAAGGAGCATGGAGTATCTTTAGCATTATCCAATAAAACAGAACAAATTGGTCAAAAGTTTAACTCATTTTAGAATATGCAGTTCTCCTTATACTTCTGATGCGGCAATAGGTGGTGCTGTAGTACCGTATTAGAAACTAAAGTGTATTATTCCTTAGAAAGTTTTAAACAGCCAAAAATAAACAGTCAGTATCCTGTTCAGGAGTGTGGGCAAAAAAGCATTTTTCCCTCATCCAATACACGTAATCTAGCCAAATATGTCACGAAGTACATAACTCTTATACTGAATCTTGCGTTTCACTTCCCTGAAATGAATGAGGCCCTTTGCTGTAACTCTAGTGTGAAATCCGGAAAAACTGACAGTCATATTTTCGAGGTTTATGATGCCCCTTTGCCTGACCTTGTGTAGGGTTAGATCTGTTTTTGCAATTAAGGAGCCTGGCTAATAATGATCTGGGCTGTGCCCCCGGGTGCTTTCAGCCATCGCTCCATAAAGTCACCAAGTTTTTGGCCCTACTATTCTAGTGTTATTCAGTTTTCTAAATCAGTGGTGCTCAACCCGTGGAACTTCAGGACCCACATTTGTCCTTGGCCATTAAGTCATGGCCCAACAATAATTTAATTGTGAGGGTTTTAAGACCCCCCCTCTCCCCCCCAACTTCATGCATGCCTTCAAACCCCACTTCCATGCCCTGCTTTAGCCCACCCTTTCATGTCCCCTTTCCTTTCCCCTTTTATGCCCTTTCCTTATCTCCCTTTCACACCCTCCTTTAGGAACTACCTTGATGCCCTTTTCACACCCTCCCCTTTCATGGTTTCTTTCATTTCACCCCTTTCATGCACACTTTCATCCACCAATTATCATCGCTTTCCCCCCCGTTTTCTTTCACTTCTTTCAAAATGCGCTCTCCATCACCCCTGCCACAACACAGGAAAAAGTACCTAGCGGAGTCATTCCCTGGCATCCAGAGGTGCTTTTCTTCCCTCCTGCACGGCTGGCTGGAAGGAAATGTAGTTATTTCCCAGAGCTGCCGTGGAGGAAGGACGAATGAACCTGAGGGCCATAGGCCTGCTTTGTAAGTGCACCGTGCGCACCACCTAATGGGGACAGCTGGCTGCATTAATGCAAATATTAAGGCCAGCCATAGTTGTGGTCCTGGCTGTCTTGACACTTAAATTAGTGCGGCCAGCGTTTTTTAATTAGGCTGTTGCCAGGGCACCAGGCGTTTTATTGGAGCATTAGAGAGGCCTGGGGGGCACTTGCCCCATGGCCCAGTCCGCCCCTGGTCTGAACCATCACTTGAGAAACAAATCTAAATCATCAGCTTTCTGATACCAAAAGCCTATTGATTTTTCAGCTGCTGCAACTTTACTGGGGATAGGGAAAAAGGAATCTAATGTGGAGACAATATTTTCTGTCTGTGACATATTACACATATTACACATTTTGCATATCCGAATCTGGTCATGGTCCACCTTTAATACTTTCATTTTGTTTGTCAGGGTGGTGTTGCAGGTGGTGATGGTTGCATGCACTTTGGACTTTACATGTTCCAGCATTAACTTCTGTTGCTTATCTGTCTGACCACCAGAAGGTTTTAGTGTGTCTAGAATCACCTGGGCATCACTCCATTTAAAAGGATGGGCTGCGGTTTCCCTTGTGCCTGTCCAATTGAGTGAATTCTCAAAGACAAACTAAAATGTGTTGCCTCTCGCTACGCATGGCTGGTAGTGTCGAGGGTTTGCACACCAGGAGTAGTTAAAGCACATGGGAGAAGCTGCAGAACTGAGACTCTGAAGGCTCTAAGCGGAGCTCATGCTAGACACATCTGGCCATTAGAGTGGTAGCCCTGGAACCCCTTGTAGCCTTTTGAAGCCACATGTTAGGAAGAGGGATTTGCTGAAGATTTGGTGGGCTTTGTGAGCCAACTCTTATAAAGGAAGTGCTGAACATAAGTTTAAAAGTGGAAGCCTGGGTAGAGTGCTGAGGTGATGTGTTTTTGAGGCGGTAGAGATCCCGAGGAAGGGAATTTTTGTACTTTCCAATGTGGATGAAGATCATTTCCTCCTGTGAAATCTTTGACGACTTTGCAAACTGCCTCACCAAAGCGTCTTCTACAGACAGGTTCAGGTGACCAGGATTTCAGCCATAAAATTTTAGGCATGTAAATGGAAAATCATGGCCATTCTTGAAAGTGGTCTCATTATTTGGTCTAGGGCAGTGGTGGTGAACCTATGGCATGCGTGCCGCAGTGGGCACTTAGAGCCCTCCGTAGGCACGCTAGCCTAGTCGCCCCCAGCAGCCGAGCATCGGATAACAGCGTACATAGGGGTGATGCGCATTCTCGGAAAGGAGTAGTGGCACCACAACCCGTCTGAGCTTTTGTAAGGCCAGTCAATGCGCTACCAAGGAGATTATATATTTGTTTGGAATGGCTGTGATATTAGCATAGGCCCCCACAAGGTAGGAAATGTACTCAGATGCCTTCTTCAGAGCAGGCCAAAAGCTGGTGGCCAGTGGAACTTTTGCCCCCTTGTGCTGGTGATCACTGGAACTTTGCCCCTGTTAATGTAGGAGTTGTTTTTTCTAAACTAAAACCTCAGTATTCAGGTTTAATTACAGTGTTGGCACTTTTCAATAACTAAGTGAGTTTTGGGCACTCTAAAAGGTTCGCCATCACTGATCTAGGGCATCTAGAACAAAGAGCAGGGAAGAAGGTAATTGCTGTAATCACTCATTTGAAGATATACAGGATTGTATTTGTTGTTCATTGTCCTAGTCCAGTTAACTGCGATATGACAAATTGCAGCAAAAGCTGTTTGCAGATTCACACCTGAGCAGAGCGATTTTCAGGAGTTTTTAGAAGCGGTTTTGAAAGTGTATACAGGCATTTTTATTACAGGCATTTTACATTTGTATTCAAACTTCAGACTTTTTGTTTTGTCCAACTGAAATCACTAGAGGGAGGATATCAGTTAACACCTGAAAACACCTTGAATGTTTAAATTTTCCTTTTAGTTTCTTAAAAAGGATCAACCTTTCCTTTAACTCCAGGGAAAGCGACAGAAAAAAAAAGCCAGCAATTGCATTTAAAAATCGGCACTGACATACACTTCGTATTGCAAAAATAAAATCGAAAACAATTTGTAAACCGAGGCATTTTCAGTGGATTTTCATTCGTAAACCAAAAATTACAGTAACCGAGGTGCGTGTATATATATATATATATATATATATATATATATACACACACACACACACAGCAAGTTATACAGTGCACAGGCCTTTAAAGTATACTAATATCTTAATAACTTGGTGAATACATGTGTGCCACATGTACTGTGGCTGCAGTGAACTGCAGAGAGCTGTCATACTGTAAGATGAGCAGACTTTAGCAGTGTTTCCTGGTTAGCTTTATGTATGACCTTCTGAATTTTACATTGTACGGTCCCCTACAGCAAGTTGTACAATCTATTTTAATCATAGTAGCTGTAATATACAGAACAGACATAACATTATACTGAACTGATTTGAAAAACACGTTTTATACAAATGTTTTATAAAAATGAAAGAGATTAGGTAACATACCGCATTCCCATCGGAGTCTATACTGCTATGAGAAGAATGAAGCCCTAGTAACTGCTGCGTAGAGGTAGAAGTTGACATTGTGGCAGTGATAACTGATTGTAACTGTACCTACAAAGAAAAAACAATAAAAAGTACAGCATTACCATGATTTACACCAACATATCACAATACACATGTGTATGTACATGAAGTATTTATTTTAAAGAAGATCAGCAAAAAAAAAAAAAAAAAAAATAGTTTGATAAAATCCCTAGGGGATCCTGTGCACATAGCATTTGTCCCCATCTAAATTCATGCAGGCATTGCTGAGCTGTGGTGTTGGATAGCTAGCCAGGCACACTTGCCTAGCTGTCAAGACAACAGAGATGGACAAAGAGAGTTCTAATGCACAGTTCAGGAGGAGAGGGGGCGTGACAAAGCCTGCAGCAGCCCCACCCTCTTCCTGCTAAGCTGCCAGGCAATACAGTAGCTAAGCTCTCTCCTCATCTCTTCTCCCTAGTTTACAGAATCTGAACCTGTGACCTGCTATTCAGGCAGGGAGTGAAAAGGGTGCGCTTGTATTGTGAAATGTGTCAGAACCAGGATCTGAACCCATGACCAGCAGCTCTCCTTGCTGAACCACCTGAGACACTGGACCAGGGACGGACTGACAACTCATGAGGCTCCCGGGCAATAGGGGATCATGGGGCCCGTGTCCTTGCCCAAACTCAAAAAAGCCTATAATAAAAGGTACCAGGGGCATCTCATGGGGCCCTCTACTGACCCCAGGCCTTCGAGCAGTGCCCGAGTTTCCAAATGGTCAGTCTGCCCCTGCACTGGACAGAATCCTGCCTGAACCCTTGGATGATTAACTCCTTGCTCCTCCAATGAACATCTTATTTAAGCTGCGCTTTTGCACTTCCTGTTTGCCAGATTGCTGTGTTCTGTCCTGCCAATATCTTGCTCCTTTGCATACCTGCAGCTGTCCTTATCTTCACTAGCACTCGATACCACCTTTTGACTACTTCTGCTTGATCTCAACCTGCAACAACTTGTTACAGACTTTTGGCTTGTTTACCGACTACTCTTTTGCTTGATCCCTACCTGCTTTATCTGCTATTGGACCCCAGCCTACCCACCTTCTGGTAGGGTGATCCTGAGGACCGTGACCTGGTACAAACATGCAGCGAAACCCATCTCCAGCGGCAGGCGCCTTTGTGACAACCGGTTAATACTTAGACCCCACACTTCCAGTGAGCATGCATAATTGTTTTCAGAAACACAGCTCTCCAGCAGAACATATCAGTTTACATGTATTAGACAATCCATTTACCACTGACCAGGGTGAACAAAATGAACAGCTTTTATTCATGTAAAAACTTTATCCCAAAAGCAAAAAAAAAAAATATGTTTTCTCTGATTATAAATTGTGAGCTGGATCTTGGCTTCAAATTTGTTATTGTATTCAAAACTAATCCATTTAACACTCCCATTCCCAACCCCCCCCCCCCTCCCGACTGATAATGCTGCTGTCTGCTGTGTGGTGTTCTCATCCTCCAGGGTGGAGTCTAACTGATACAGGAGGTGTGTTACTGGCTAGATCACCAGTTGAAAAGAGTGGAAAAAGCTAAAGAAAAGAAAACTGATTCAGCCACCACATCTGATTGGTAGGCTGCAATATTATACATTTTTGGTTTTGGGTTTAATACCGCTTTAATCTCCAAGGCTCCCACAAAAATGTAAATGGGCATCTTCATAGTGTAGTAAGGTTTATTCAAAGTTAAAAGTGCCCAGATTAATAAAACTCACATTTACTGTGCCCTCCCTGGCACTCGGTACACTCGTTTGGTCTCTGGAAGAACGCCAGTCTACCCACCTCACACTGGATGCAAGCATGCGTTCCACTGAGAGGAAAGATGTAATCATTCCTAGCCCTGCCCAAAGAGCTTTGTCTGCAGGATGTTGTGACTGCTTTTGAACAGCAGCCTTCATTCTGATTGCAGGACCCAACTGGGTGTGTTGCCGCAGCTTCTCTGCTTCCCTGGAGGCAGATGATGGCTTCCGCAGAGAGGAAGAAGTGATGCCACACACCAGGGGACTCCATTACTAAGGAGGGATATATAAATGTACATACTACAGCTACCACCAGCTGCTCTATATACCTGTAGGAGCACTATTGGTGTATTCACACAATCTTAGGTGGGTGTTATTTCTTGGAGGCACGCACAGCTATTTTTTGATATTTAGGACTGAAAATGAATCGACAATCAATTTTGAAAATAGTTGTCAACTATTTTCATAATTGATTAGTTGGTCAGATGATGAGTTGGCCAGCATACAGAATGCATTATTTGTCTACATATCAAAAAATACAGTGAAGCAGACATGCAGCTCAGAACACCGTTCATACATGTCAGTATACATAGTGCAGCATACATACAGCTCAGTACACTGTTCATACATGTCAGTAAGTGCCTGAGAACTTGTGAATGTGTGAGGAGCATTGCCTTATGGGACATGTAGTCCTAGGCAGGAGAAGGAAGTGATATAACCACTTGCTCTCCAGAGGATTTACCCCCCCTTCCTGACCAGGCCATTTTTTGCGATACTATGCTGCGTTACTTTAACTGCCAATTACGCGGTCATGCAACGCTGCACCAAAATTAAACCTATGTCCTATTTTACCCACAAATAGAGCTTTCTTTCAATGGTATTTGATTGCCTCTGCATTATTTTTTGCACTATAAACAAAAAAAAGACTGACAATTTTGAAAAAAAACAAACAGTATTTTTTTTACTTTTGCTGTAAAACATATCCAGTAAAAAAATTTTAAAAATCAAATTTCTGTTTTAGGCCAAAATGTATTTTGCTACATGTCTTTGCTAAGAAAAAATTCCAATACATGTAAATTGGTTTATGTGAAAGTTATAGCATTTAAAAATGGCGGTATATATACTGGACTTTGTTTTTTTTTTTTTCTTTCTTTTTTTATACTAGTAATGGAGCGATCAGTAACTGCGGCGGGCTTCTGACACGGGGGGGGGGGACTGACTAACTGCCACTGACATCCCCAGTGACACTAATACAGTGATCAGTGCTAATAAGAAGCACTGACACTGGGCAGAAAGGGGTTAACATGAGGGGTGATCAAAGGGTTAACTGTGTGCTGTTTTACTGTGTAATCATGCTGGTTTGCATTACTCTGCTATGTAGAGCAATACAAAGCAGCATGTTGGTGCTGACAGTATTTATATACAGACCTCTCCCCTGCCGGTGTTCCTCGGCGATCGCCGGTGATTTTGCACAGAGCAGGTAAGTATGACAAGTTTGTTGTTAAAAAAAAAAAAAAAAAAAAAAAAACCCCACAAAAGCACAACGTTTACAATCACTTTAACCACTTGCACTCCAGAAGATTTACCCCCCTTCGTGACCAGGCCATTTTTTGCAATACGGCACTGCGTTACTTTGACAATTGCGTGGTCATGCAACACTGTAGATAAATTTAATTTATGTCTTTTTCCCCACATATAGGACAATTCGTTTGGTGGTATTTGATCACCTCTGCAGTTTTTACTTTTTGCGTTATAAACAAAAAAATAAAAGACGGTCAATTTTAGATAAAAAAATATTTTTTTTTTTTTTTTAATTTTCTACTATAAAGCATACCCAATTAAAAAAAATTAAGAATCAAGTTTCTTCATACATTTAGGCCAAAATGTATTTTTCTGCATATTTTTTGAAAAAAAAAAATCACAATAAGTGTAAATGGAGTACTTTGCGCAAAGGTTATAGTGTCTACAAACTATGGGACATATACTAGATTTTTTTTTAAACTAGTAATAGCGGAGATCAGCAATTTATAGCGGAACTGGGATATTGCGGCAGACATTTTTACACTGACACTTTGTGGTAACCAGTGACACTAATACAGTGATCAGTGCTAAAAATATGCACAGATCACTGTACTAATTACACTGGTTGGAAAGGGGTTAACACCTAGGGTAATAAAAGGGTTATGTGTGCCTAGCTATGTGCTGGGTGTACACTAGGTGTTACTGCTACTACAGGAACTGAAGGATCATGCTCCCATCTTTGCAGACACATAATCCTTCAGTTCGCCACCAGTCCGAATACAGCGCTGTTCTTTCTCCTGCCAGACGATTGGTGGTTGCCAGCGAACACACATTCACTGGGACTCGCAGATTGGCTTCTGCTGTGTTTCCAGAAGAAGCGAGCCACTGGCAGCACGTGCACATCCCCTATGGCGGAAGTGCAAAATCAAGTGATTTTGCAGTTGGGCCGTCCTGTAGCAGTAAAAGTGCTATAGGGCAGTCCTCAAGTGGTTAAGGGCTCTGTGCAGGGAAGATCAGCCTCTGAAGCCAGAGTATCTGGAGGCTGATAGAATGGAGGCAATATAAGAGGCATTCCAATTAAATTTAAAGTTTTACCAGTATTGTGAATTATATTTAAATTATATCCAAGCAAAAAAGTCTCCAAAATGCGCACCCTTGTCACAATGTAACAGTATTTCGGCTATAGGGCAGTCAGGAAGTGGTTCAATTTATGCAAAGAGTCAATATTTGCAGTGTTGACCTTTTTTTCAAGACCTATGAAATGCGTCCTGGCGTGCTATCAACTAGTGGAACCAATTGCCTTCAGAAGTCACCTAATTAGTAAATAGAGTCCACCTGTGTGTAAGTTATTCTCCGTATAAATACAGCTGTTCTGTGAAGCCCTCAGAGGTTTGTTAGAGAACAATGGTGAACAAACAGCAACATGAAGGCCAAGGAACACACCAGGCAGGTCAGGGATAAAGTTGTGGATAATTTAAAGCAGGGTTAGGTTATAAAAAAAATATCCCAAGCTTTGAACATTTCACAGAGCATTGTTTAATCCATTATCCGGAAATGGGGACCAAAAAAAAAAAAAAGTATGGCACAACTGCAAACCTACCAAGACATGGCCATCCAGCTAAACTGACAGGCCAGGTAAGGAGAGCATTAGTCAGAGAAGCAGCCAAGAGGCCCATGGTAACTCAGGTGGGAGAATCTGTCCACAGGACAACTATTAGTAGTGCACTCCACAAATCTGGCCTTTATGGAAGAGTGGCAAAAAGAAAGCCATTGTTGAAAGAAAGCCATAAGAAGTCCCATTTGCAGTTTGCGAGAAGCCATGTGGGGGACACAGCAAACATGTGGAAGAAGGTGCTTTGGTCAGATGAGACCAAAATTTTACTTTTTGGCCTAAAAGCGAAACATGTGTGGCGAAAAACTAACACTGCAAATCACCCTGAACACACCATCTACACCGTGAAAAATGGTAGTGGCAGAATAATGTGGGGATGCTTTTCTTCAGCAAGGACAGGGAAGTTGGTCAGAGTTGATGGGAAAATGGAGCCAAATACAGGGCAGTCTTAGAAGAAAACCTGTTAAGAGTCTGCAAAAGACTTGAGACTGGGGCTGAGGTTCAACTTCCAGCAGGACAACGACTCTAAATATACAGCCAGAGCCCAGATGGAATGGTTTAGATTAAAGCATATTCATGTGTTAGAATGGTTCAAAGTCCAGACCTGAATCCAATTGTGAATCTGTGGGAAGACTTGAAAATTGCTGTTCACAGACTCTCTCCATCCAAAATGACAGAGCTTGGGCTATTTTGCAAAGAGGAATGGGCAAAAATTTCACTCTCTAGATGTGCAAAGCTGATAGAGACATCCCCAAAAAGACTTGCAACTGTAATTGCAGTGAAAGATGGTTCTACAAAGGTTTGACAGAAATTTTTTTACAAATTTGAAAAGTGTGGCGTGCATTTGTATTCAACAAATGCACGCCACACTTTTCACATTTGTAAAAAATTTTGAAAACCATTTCTCATTTTCCTTACACTTCACAATTATGTGCCACGGCGTTGGTCTATCACATAAAATCCCAATAAAAAACATTTACGTTTTTGGTTGTAACATGACAATGTGGAAAATTCCAAGGGGTATACTTTTGCAAGGCACTGCATATACAGTTAGGTCCATATATATTTGGACACAGGCACAGTTTTAGTTTTTCTCAGATATTTACCAAAACATATTCAAGCTATAGTTCTATAATGGATATGGGTTGAAAGTGCACACCCTCAGGTTTAATTTAAGGGTATGTACATCCAAATTGGAAGAAGGGTTTCGGAATTTCAGCTCCTTAGAGTAGTCAATCCCCCCTTTTTCAAGAGCCAAAAGTAATTGGACAATTGAATCAAAAGCTGTTTAAAGGCGATATTTGGGCTACTTATTCGTTATTTCTTCATCAATTAGGCAGGTAAAAGGTCTAGAGTTGTTACTATTGTTATACAGTATTTATATAGCGCCAACAGTTCGCTCAGCGCTGTACATTACAATGGGAGACAATACATGAGACAGTACAACAATACAATGCGATACACGAGGGGTTTGAGGGCCCTGCTCCTTGGAGCTTACAATCTAGGAGGGAGGGGATAGTGGTACGGGAGGAATAACTGTGGGGGATGGAGTGGTAGGAAGAGTGGAGATCGGCAATTAGCAGAGGGCAGGGTAGGCTTTCCTGAAGAGGTGGGTTTTCAGGGTGTGCGGAGAGGAGAGTAGGTGATAGTCTGATGGATTGGGGTAGGGAGTTCCATAGGGTGGGTGATGCCCTGGAGACGCCCTGGAGCCTTGCATGGGAGGAGACCAGGGAACTAGAGAGAAGAAGGAGGTCTTGTGAGGAGCGGAGAGTGCGTTTTGGGTGGTATTTGGATATTAGGTCGGTGATGTAGTTTGGGGAGAGTTATGGACAGCTTTGAACGTCAGTGTTACCATTTTGAATTTGATCCGTTGGGTAATCGGAAGCCAGTGAAGGGATTGGCAGAGGGGGTGGCGGAAACAGAGCGGTTGGTAAGCTGGAGGAGTCTGGCCGCCGTATTCAGGGTCGACTGAAGCGGGGATAGCCTGTGGTGAGGCAGGCCAGTGAGAAGGAAGCTGCAGTAATCGAGTCGTGATATGATGGAGTGGATGAGTTGCTTAGTAGTTTCCGGGGTTAGGGCGTATTTTGGAGATGTTGCGGAGGTGGAGTCTGCATGAGTTTGTTAGCGAATGGACTTGGGGCTGGAAGGACAGATTGGAGTCTAAAATGACACCAAGTACTCTGGCTTGCGGGGTGGGACTGATGGTGGTATTGTTGGTCGTGATGGAGAAGTCGGGAGGGGGGGGGGGTGCGGGCTGGGGGGAAAACTAGGAGCTCGGTTTTGGAGAGGTTCAGTTTAGGGAAGTGGAGAGACATCCAATCTGATATGTCGTTCAGTAGGCTAGTGATTCGAGCGGAGACTGAAGGGGCGAGGCGAGGGGTCGAGAGATAGATTTGCGTGTCGTCGGCATAGAGATGGTAGTTGAAGCCGTGAGAGTGTATCAATTGGCCAAGGGAGGAGGTGTAGATGGAGAAGAGAAGGGGCCCGAGGACAGAGCCTTGAGGGACCCCAACAGAGAGGGGGAGTGAGGGAGAGGTTGTAGCGTTATAGGTAACGCTGAAGGAGCGTTGTGATAGGTAGGACGAGAGCCAGGAGAGAGCGGAGTCTCTGAGGCCAAGAAAGTGTAGTTTGAGGAGGAGGGTGTGGTCGACTGTCGAAGGGCGCGGAGAGGTCGAGGAGTAGGAGCATTAGCTTTGGCGGTTAGCAGGTCGTTGGTGAGTTTAAGTAAGGAGGTTTCGTTGGAGTGTAGGGGACGAAAGCCGGACTGTAGGGGGTCGAGGAGGTTGTTGTCGTTGAGGTGGGAGCTTAGGCAAATATAGACTAAGGCTGGCCATACATTATACAATTATCTGCAGATTTTCTGCCCAATTTCCTTTAGATTTACCTTCAACTATGTAGTGCAAGGGCCTGCCTAATTGGATACAACTGAAAGTGTTGTTTAGGTTTGTCCTCCTATTATATGGTTTTTGGTAAATCTAAACCAAAAATCTGCAGATAATTGTATAATGTATGGCCAGCCTAAGCGCTCAAGGAGTTTGGATATAAATGGCAGCAGATAGATGGGTCTAAGGTTGTTCAGGTCAGTGGGGTCCAGGGAGGTCTTTTTAAGTATGGGAGTGATGTGCGCATGCTTCAGAGGGGTGGGGAATGGGCCAGAAGAGAGGGAGAGATTAAAGATGTGGGTGAGGGAGCGTAGGATGGAGGAGGTGGGAGATCGTAGGAGTTGTGAGGGGACTAAGT